GAGTTACTTAATATCTCTGTGCCTTAGTTTTCTCATCCCCAAAATAAGGAGAATAATTTACCTATCTCATGGTTAGAAAATATATATGAAGTGCTCAAAAAAAAAAAAGTGAACTACATTCTGATACATTGTCAACTCTTAAAACTCACAGTACTGTCTTTGAATCAATTTGTGAAAAGAATAATATTCTTTATGCACTCATTGCCTAAGTGAAAATAGAGCCATGACAATTATGTAGAAATTAACAATATTTTGCCTCAATCATCTGAATCACTTAGTTCAAAGCACATTTTAAGCATACATTATTAATATAAGTTGCTTTCTGAAAATTAGCAGGGAATTAATTTTACTCATTTAACAAACTCCAATTAAGTCAAACAGTAGTGTAATAATTCCAAAGGTCAAGCTTGGCTTTGCGGTCTCCCCTGCCATTTACTAGATCTGTGACCCTGGGCTAGCCAAAAAGAAATGTTAGGCTTCTATTTCCACATTTGTAATAATTAAATCTATGGGTAATAATTAAATCTATGTTAGTAGGTGAATATTAAACATAGCACAGTACCTGGTACATAACATATCACGATAAAAGGAAGGTCAACAAAATTATCGTATATATAAAATTTAGAGAACAGTGTTTGTGACAGAACTAATTACTTTATATATTATTGAGAATTGAAAGTGAAATTATATTTTTCTGACTCCAAGTTCAGTCTTAAGCAAATAAATTAGAAATTCATATTTTGGAAGTTATTTTAAAGAAAAAGAAAATTTTATATGAGAAATATCAAGTTATTTGACAGCAAATTACTTAGTATTTCCTTTGTATTCCTAATTATAAGGCACAGAGACTATAAGTACCAGTTTAAGAGATACTTGTGCCTCTTTTTAAAATGAACACTTCTGAATCCTTAAAATTCAGTGTAGTATGTACAATCTTCCTCCTCCCCCATCTTCATCAATTTAAATTTATGAAACTACTAAGTTAAAAAACTTTGTGCACATATATCTTCAAAGTCATTATTATCTAAGAATTTGTTATTAATATTTTATAATATTAGCTATTAGGCAGTCTTGTACACACTGTTAGCACCACAGTAGGGGTGTTGGTTCCTGCACTTAGTTATAGTGGAGAAGATGGGAAATGCTTCTGCTCAGGTTTTCTAACCAGAGTCTACTGGAGTTACGATGGGACAGCAAGCACCTCAGGTCACCCCACAGTGGACTAGAGAAATCAGCTTCTACCTTGTGACATGAAGCTCAACTAAACTTTTTTAACTGGGTCAGGACTGGAGTGCATGTCTAGAATTGCACCCAGGAACTAAGGAGCCTGAGCCAACAGGACATTATGCTTTGATTAGTATAAGGAGTCTCAATACAGTCCCCAAGTCCCAAGCGATCCCATTTCAGAAAAGGCCTTTAGGAACTGTGACAAGGTAGCCTCCCTGAGCTTGCTATGGTAAGTTGATGGTCAAGTTTTCTATGTGCAGAGGAAATGATGGAGATATGCTTGGGGACAGGAAGTTTGCAAGTTAATAGTTCATCATTTTAACTTGCAGGCAAAATATAAAGAGCTTTCCAAAAGTCTTGAAAATGCCATAAACACTGCCATGTTATAGAAACCAAAATACAAATACTACCTATATAAGAGATGGGGATGTCCTTTAAAAATGCCCTGCTTGATATATCTTAATATTAAAATACAGACCAGTACAAATAATACCATAAATATAATAACGTGATTCAACTAATCAGGACTATCCTTAGTCCATGGGACACATTTGCGTCAAGCAGTCTAGCTTCAGAGCATGTGGCTTAGCCAAAGGAATACAGGCACTGTCACCATCTCTCTTCGTTGGATGCCTTTGTGCAGGGTACAATTTGCGCATCAATACGTGATGTCCTCGAAAAAAATATTTCAGTGCCTTCTCTATGTCCAGTCTATGCTATGTTCTTTAAGCTCTTATAGTTTTTAAAGTCTTATGATTATCATCTTGATTTTCAAAGAAACAAATCTAGAGAAAGACTGAGTGGGAATTTGAATCTGTATTTGCTGATATTAAGATCAACGTATTTTCTGTTAAAGCAAACTGCCTCTACTTCTATCTTCTTTTCCTAAAAAAAATTTTATTGAGTATTTTAATCTTCATGACAGTGCTAGAGATCCTGGTCGAAGTGTGAAGGAGTGAGGCATACTTCTTTTGGACAACCTCGGATTGGATCTAAAGTTGTAAAGCTAAGACTTTACTATTGCTATCAGTAGGCTGTTTCAAATAGTTTGAGTTTCTCATCCATTTATGATAAACACAGATGTATTCAGTTTAGTCTATAGTAATAATTCTCATTTTTTTTCACAAGAGCTTCCTCTTCCTTTTTTAAAAATATTTTTCTCCCTCAAATGCCCATATTATAAAATACATCTATTAAGCATATTACAGTCATTACATAAGAATTTATTTACACATTTTCAGCTGAAAAGATCTATTAAAGATGACATAATTTAAAAAGCTAAAGAAAACAACTGATGATAAATAGCAACCAAAAAACAGCAACACCACCACCAAATTTATTTAGTAACATCTTTAAGTAGTTTGTTCAGCAACATTTGTTATCAGGAAGACCTGAAGTTGAGTTCTAGTCCTTTCTTCATGACAGTGCTAGAGATCCTGGTCGAAGTGTGAAGGAGTGAGGCATACTTCTTTTGGACAACCTCGGATTGGATCTAAAGTTGTAAAGCTAAGACTTTACTATTGCTATCAGTAGGCTGTTTCAAATAGTTTGAGTTTCTCATCCATTTATGATAAACACAGATGTATTCAGTTTAGTCTATAGTAATAATTCTCATTTTTTTCACAAGAGCTTCCTCTTCCTTTTTAAAAAATATTTTTCTCCCTCAAATGCCTATATTATAAAATACATCTATTAAGCATATTACAGTCATTACATAAGAATTTATTTACACATTTTCAGCTGAAAAGATCTATTAAAGATTACATAATTTAAAAAGCTAAAGAAAACAACTGATGATAAATAGCAACCAAAAAACAGCAACACCACCACCAAATTTATTTAGTAACATCTTTAAGTAGTTTGTTCAGCAACATTTGTTATCAGGAAGACCTGAAGTTGAGTTCTAGTCCTTCTACTTGTTTTTCATATCACTTAAACTTCCTAACATTGATTTTCCTTTCTCTGTACCTGGAGTAATAATTCTAATATCATCCAATTATTATAAGGAATATGAATGAGAGACTATAGTTAAATGGTCTGGCACACAGTGCCTTCTATGTGTACAGTGTATACTTTATTCATTAAGTGTTGTTTTTGTTCTTTGAGAGAATGCATTTCAGAATGATAAAATAACTTACCATCGAAAAATTCTGACCCTGTAAATCCCTAGGGGTAGGAGACATCTCTAGATTGAAGACAATAGTGTGAGTCTAGAGTCTCCAATGCCTTTAGAATTAAGGGGACTGACCATAAGAAGGGAGTGGCAGAGCATGAGATGGATGTGTATGAGGTGAAATGTACCATTCAGAAACAAGCCACTTTTTTCCTAGTAGTCTTCCAAGACTACGAAAGAGCAGGGCGGACTTAATCTATTTGAAGTGTTCTGAAGATCTAGACAATGAAGGTGTAGGTGTAGCTAGAGAGCCCAGGGTCTGGGTCAGCTATTTGTGTGATCCTTTCATTTAAGAACTGTCCTAGGGCATCAGAACTAACTAGCTGTGTGGCTGTGCTTCCGAAAGTCATCAGGTTGGTGCCTGAGCAGTATATTATAATGCTGAAGGAAGGAAGCTCCTGCTGAGTTAATATTTCTTTAATCTATTTTTGAGAGTAAACTCATGTCTTTCTTTCCCACATCCTCACTAAAGTGACTTTTGTTCACCATAAACTTGTTATACTAAAATGATAATTCAAAAGAAGATATATTTCCTTCCTTTTGCTAAAGACTTGATTAATGATCTTAGGGCAGATCTTTAAAGATATCTAAAACACAATTTTCTCCCCAAACCCCAAGCTTTTAAAATGCACTAAATTATTCGAGCAAACCATTTACGATTTTATTTTATTTTTGCCTTTTATGCATACACCAAAACCACCAACCCCAAAGATTTTTTTTTTTTTAAGTGAACAGACTGTACTCTAAGAATAAGTTGGGCACTTCTGGAAGATGTTTTAACTTTATCAGGCCAATAGAGAGGCATCAAAGAAAAAAAACTTAAACACCAGACTGACTAGTGATTTTTAAGTTTTAAAGTCAATTTATATTTGTTCAACCCACATTGACAACTTAAAAAATCACCTTCCATTACTTTCCCCCCCAAATTCAAGGTTTTCATATGTCTATATCAGTCCTTATTACCCACCAAGAGCAATTATTGGAGGAATCATGGTGTCATTACATATATAGTATTTTTCTCTTTTTTGCTTTATTCCTGTGTCTTCTGAAAAAATGCTACACGAACTATTGATCTAGAGAAGTAACAGTAATCTAGAATTCCTTTGTCGAGGGAAAATTTTTCCTCATATTATTTGGTCATTGAATGTATTGAGAATTCTCTGAGAATCAAGTATTGGGTTAAATTCCTCTGTCTTTATGCATATTGGTATTTTTAAGTGTAGAGTTGCCTCCAAATTGGTCAGTCTGCTTAGCTGTTCTAATCTGCCAAATATTTGAATTGAATTCTTCCTATTTATAATAAAGATTTTTTCTTTTACAAATTTTATGACTTATACTTTTGGTCTTCCATTACAAAAGCCTGGCTTTGTCATCCTTAGCAAACTGAAACCAAAGAATGAAAATAATCTTGAAATATTGTGACCAAAATCTCTGCTTCATTGCTGATAATTAATTCTGATAATCCTTAGGTCTTTAATGAGTTTTGACTGCATGGACATAGACTGTCTGCCTGCAACAATGAGTTGAGATCAGCCTCAGTCTTTCCAGGAAGTAAGAGTGAAGGCTGGTGATGTGCACATGATAACGTACTCTTTTTTAGGTTTAGCGATGGAACGGATATGGTTGCTGTTGCTTCTAACAATTAGAGTGCTTCCGGGGTCTGCTCAATTTAATGGCTACAACTGTGATGCCAACCTCCACAGTAGATTTCCTGGTAAGTGTGAGCCTAATCTTTTCTCTAATTGTATCTAGAAAGAGTGATTATGTTTGAAAAGTAAATCATTTAAATATATATGAAAAATGGGAGTATATCCCTCTATATTAAGTGGATATTAATGAATGGCAAATGACAAAAGACATTTTTCTGGAGTTGTAATTTATATCCACATTAACATACAAAGTGTTCATTGTAGTTAGTATTATAATGGCTGCTTGCAGATGTGAAAAATATTGGCTAGTGGGTGATAAAAGTGGGAGGTTAATTTCATTCAAAATTTGCCTAATCGATGCCCTTTTTCCCCCTAAGTTAGTTTAGACTCTCAAAACTCCTGTTGTATACTAATATATTTATTTAGAAATAACACATGAAAATGATGTGAAATATTATGCAATACTCAAAAAATACTATTTCAATAAAACGTTGGTCACCACTAAAGTACAAGGCCAGCTCCAGAATGCATTTCACAGCAAACCATCAATATGCTGACAGATATGAGATTTTGACTGTATTGATAGACACGACCCACAGGTTCCTAAAATCTCTCAATGAGAAATAATTCAATGACTCATTTAAGTATTTGTCATTTCATATTGGATAAAGTTATAGAATTCAACATTTTTAAAATACAGGTTAGACAATCTGAAACTACTTTTTTAAAAGTCTGCCACGTAACCTTAAATACCTTTTGCCACATTTTCATTCTTCAAACGTGGCAATATTTCGATGTTCTGAGCATGCCAGGCAATAGCACACCTGCATAGAACAATCAGTAGGTCGTTACATAGTTGATGTGAGAGAGATAATCTGGCTTGCTCTAGAGTAAAGACCAAGGTGTGTAGGAATGTCTTCATGAGCCCAGATCTAGGATGTGAGTGCTTGGCAGGTTAAGTAAAATACAGAGGTCAGGATGAGAAATGTCTAAAGGTAAGTCTAGAAAGGTATGCTATGCAGGGTTGTTTATGGTTTTGAATATATAAATAATGTTTAAAAAATTTTTTTTTTACTTTTTTATTTTGGAAAATTTCAAACGTATATAAAAAGAGAGATTAGTAAAAAAGAGTATTCATACTGATTATCGGCTTCATCAATTATCAACATTTATAAATTTTCTTTCACATTTCTCTTCTTATCATCCCCATATCTGGCAGTTTAAAATAAATTCATATGCATATGTGTGTGTGTGTGTGTGTGTGTGTGTGTGTGTGTGTATACTAAAAAAGAACTTAAAAATTATTATACTTCATGTATACATCTAATAAACTTAACAATAATCCTTAATATCATCTAATACTCAGCCAATTTGCCTCTAAAACATTCACATTTGTTGATATGTGTCTAAATTTGATTTTAATTTATAACAGTTCCTCTCTGTCCTTTGCTTTCTAAAATGCTGTTTATCTCTTTAAGTAATTTGGTCATTTGTTTTATAGAACTCTGACAGTCTGGATCTGGTTGACTTCAACTCTGATATGTCATGTAACAGGTTCCTTTTTCCCTGTATATCCTATAAACCAATTAGAGCTTGAGATTTGAGTAAATTCAGGTTCAGTTGTTTTAGTAAGAATATTTTGTGTGTTTTTTGTATAATAAAAGTGTTTCATCTTTAGTTTATAGGCAATGGAGAGCCATTGATTCTTTTTAAACATACCTTTTGAAGAGTTCGACAAGGTCACATTTTGTTTTAGAAAGGAAACGCTAGAAGTATGAAAGACAGAATCACATTAGAAGAGACCAGAGTCAGAGAGAAACATCGCGAAGGCAGTGGCAGTGGAGCAGTAGAAGGAAACAGCTGTTAAGATATATTTCATGGTGGACTCACTAGCATTTGAGGACTGGTTTGATTTGAGAAGTGAGAGAAAGAGAAGACTAGAGGATATTTTGAACTCAGATAACTGGTTGTTATACTGTTAACTGACACCAAAAGTATAGAGCACTTGCATGTTTTAGAACGAAAGTTTGGGTTTGAAAATAATGAGTCTGAGATACTTTTAGAACTTAGAGTGGCAGCCTCTCTGCAGTAGTAGGAAATATGAACTTGGGTGTGAAGAGAGATATTAAAACCGAAAACAGCTATGTGAGACTTGAATCTCTGTGCAATAAGTGAGTGAGGAATAAGGGGATAAGAAAATGAGAGGTATAGAAATAGACTACTAGTTAGGTAACTTTGGTCATGAAGGAAAGAGAGGAATAACTTGAACCAGCTATTTAAATGAAAAAGAGGCGTTTGGATTAGAGGATTAGAGACACCTGAGTATAGGTGAGTAAAGGAAAAGTATTCAGAGATTAAGGATACAAATAAAGAAATAATTGAGGTAATGAGGGAAGAAAATACGGAAGAAATCAAAAGTACAGGTGGAGGAGTTAACCTTGGAAAAATAGTCGCTGTTTCTTTGATTTAGGAAAGAGAAATAAAAGATACTAGCAGAATGGTTGAGAGAAACTCATTGTCTTCATCTTCTCAGTGAAGTGAGAGGCCGAGGCCCTCATGAGAGTGAGGGGCCAGAGAGGCCTGGCTGGGGCCTGAGAAGGGTAGTCAAGCCTTACTCTGTTGTGAATGGAAAAAAAAAAGGCCAAAATGTAAAAAGATTGCTTAGCAGAGAGGATCTAGCTGTTGTTATAGTTATACACTTGTAAAGGTGAATAAAATATGTACATAAGCCAGGAAGTGACTAGGATAGCAAAATAAAGAAATTTTCATGTGATAAATTAAAAAACTATGTTAAAACATCTATTTACAATGGCACCCACTGATCATCTGCATCAAAATCACCTGGGATAGTTAAAAAGTAAGACACTACTTCACCCCAAATATGTGCTGTCAGAATCTCTGAATATGGCACTGAAAAATCTATTTTAAACCCTGTAGATGAGTCAAATATACATTTATGGTTAAGAACAACAAATATAGTATATTCTATTATTTTTTTGAGTTCGTTATTCCAATTAAAAGCAGAGTCGTATACTGGGGAAAAATAATTAAAAACAAAATTTCTCAGTCCAGAAACCCTCTCCACAAAGATAATAAAATAAGCATTAAATCAGAATGTGATGCTCACCATAGGCAATCCACTAAAAGGTTGCAAAGACAGAAATCTCACGCTTATATAGCCAAGCAGATGTAACCCATTATGGATGTGCTTTCAAGATAAACAATAACTAGTCCTCAAGAAAGAGAACTTGACAGCATCATTTGTCACATATAGTATATCCTAAAATTACCTCGTAATTGTGTTAGCATTTTGGCTTTATCCAGAGGAAAAATAAAATTCTCATATTTTTATGAAGTATGCAATTTGCAATATGCAAATATGCAATTTGGAGCAAGGCTCCCACTGAAGTTAGGCTCCCATCCTCCTACTGAAACTGTGAGATAGGGTTGTTATCTTTCTTGACATTTATTTACATTTCCGAGAGATGGTTCCCAGGTCCTTGAGAAAGACGTTTCTGGGTCATAAAGCTGACAAAAGACCTGTCTATTTTTCCACAGGATTTATATACATTTCAAAGAGAGGAGAAAGTACTTAAAATTATGAGTTTTCTGGTGTAAATGATGTAACAAAGGGAGGGAAGAGAAGTCTCTTCCTTTATTTTCAATATGGAGAATTAAGCCTCTTTTGTTTAATTTATAATTGTCTTTGTTATGTTAGCACTTTTAGTACTGTTTGGCTTGGACAACAGATATCCAAGCTTTCTAAACTCTCTCAATCTCTCTCTGTCTCTCTGTCTCTGTCTCTGTCTCTCTCTCCCTCACACACACACATTGTTGCAATTTAAAATTAATATAAAAAAATCTAAAATCCAGATAAATCATAAGTTTATGTGGGTATTATTTCCAAGTAGGCCCATTTTTTCAGGTTGTTTGCAAAAGAAGACCAGAATAAGCAAATAAAGCCTAAAGGTTAATTGCTCACTCCCCTCTTGACCTGGCGACTTCTCTTCCATATCACGATCAACCTTGATGTAATCAGGAGCTCACATACTGCTCAGATAGTAAGCAGTAGGATAGAATGAGAATGAGTCTGGAAAAGAAGAGGGGCTATCTAAATGCAAAGTAATGTTAATAATGATGAGAGTAATCATCTTACCCTATCTGACCTTTGCCATTTCATGACATTAGAACTATTTTCTTTAATTTTTATAGCATTTATCTTTGAGCCAAAGGAAACACCGAATTTTAATTCATTTCAAATTTAAAGGGATACCATTTAATTTTAAGGTAATTAACTCTTGACTATCCAAGCTAATAGCAAGGAGTAGACACATGCCCCACTGACATTATAGTTGTGTTCTTCCCAGAACAAAACTCAAACCACTGTTTACTTTTAGGGTACTAAGGAATTATTTGGCTAGAGTGAAAAATCTCTATAAATGCATTTGACCTCTATGAATGATGGATACCTTCTGGAACTAGCCCCTTTTTGGAGGAAGATGCTATTATATAAGGGTTAGCCTAAACCTTCAGGCCTCTAAAAAAGTCTTAATGATAGAGGAATAATCAGGAAGAGATTAAGTTAATGGCACTAGACACTTTGTGGCCTGACATTGCTTTACAGTGAACTAACCAGTCATGAGAAGCTGAATGTAAGTCAACGTTACATAACTTGTCTTTTTGTATTCTATTTAAAGTAACACTAATGAGGAAACAATAGGTTTCACATATTGCATGCTAGGTACATTACATAGTCTCTCTTTTATTCCTTACAACAAACCCACAAAATCATTTTCTCATTTTATAATGGGGAAATTGAGAATTACAATTTGCTTAATGCTGCCGTGCTGGCAGTTGACAAAAATTAAAAAAAAAAAACTAAGACTCTTTCCATCAAATCATGTTGTCTTAATGTGAACTTTGAATACTAAGTTTAAAAAACCAAATAATTCAATTAAAAATGGGCAAAAGAAACTTAAATAGACATTCCCCCCCGCCCCCGAATAAAAGACATACAGATAGTGAACAGGTATGTAAAAACGTGTTCAACATCACTAATCAGGGA